GTGTAGGTGATGGGAGTTAGTTAGCAAACCCTCAGTTGTTGTCCGAGCGCACGACTCTCATCACTACCAGACCGTCAGGGGAAGCAGGACATAAAGCCATCACCGCTTTCTGTTTCATATTTTATGTATTTACGTTATGTATCAAGTAGCGAGGTGGAAATCCTCACATCTCGAAGGACTGGGCATTTTAGGCGTGGGATTGGAGTGGGAAGATTAAGCAATTTCTAACTCCAGATAGATTGTAACACCTCAATACTGTGAAGTCTCTGAAACAGTGTGATGTTTTCCCTCCTTTTTTGGTTCTTTGGAAACTAATAAATTTGCCCACACACCCCTCCTGCTCACATTAAATTGACCATTGTCCTCGTCTTGTCACTTGATTCTGTTTTAGTCGTAGTATCTCGGCAGTCCCCCAACCAATGACACTCCTCCCAGTTCCCGGAGACAGGAGGGAGGAGAAGGGGCACTTCCTCACTTTGTTTTACACAGAAAAACCATCTCTGAACCACGATCTGATGATAAACCATGGGAACAGCCACTGCGATGTGCTTCTGGTGACTGCTGGCGGGTTCTGAATGGAAACTGGGACGACTGTGACTTCAGACTGACCTCTTTCCTGACACTGCTCGGCATGGGGGAGCATAAAGGACCCCAGCTTACCCAATTAATTAACCACCTCAGGGCCGGGGTCAGAAAACCCCTTGTTACTGTGACAGCTCTGACACAATGTTGCCCTGAAGTGGTTAACATGTTTAATAATACCACTGCAAGAATTTGCACTCAGAAAATTCATGTGCTTGAGTCATTATTTTATATATATTCATCAAAACGTGAGAAAAAATTCCCAACTGATTATGATATATACTGACTCTAATGCATCATTAACAATATTTAGAAGATGTATAAGAAAATGTTTTTGTTTTTTTTAACTGCCCCAATTTTTTTTTTTTATGTATTTACTATTGAAATAAAGATCCCATACTCTGCTTTTTACAGTACTTTCATGTTTCCTTGGTAAATTCCCACAATTCCTATATTGGTGAATACACAACTAAAAGGTATTTTTATGGTACTTCCTAAAGGGTCAGGTTTAAAATCTTGTTTCCTGTTTTTTTGCTAAACAGCGTGTGGATGTTGTATGCTTTTCTCTCATATTGTAACACAGTTACAGTAACGAGTGACTCTAAGCACCACAACCACTTTAGCTGATACAATTTTATGCAACAGTTCCACTCATGTGATGAATGAAACTGCTTTGGGGAATAAACTACATATTTTATAAATTTCTGCTGGACAGGAGAGGAGCTAATGGGACAAGAGTCTCATACCTCCCAAGTGTCTCTATTTAGGAAGGACTGTCCCTATTTGGGCCAAATCCCTTTGACTCTCTTTTCTCTCCTAATGTCCCACTTTTCTAGGAGCTCCATATTGTTGGTGTGTCTGAGTGTATAACAGAGCTCCACAGTTATAATACTCCCAGTAATGTGTCTGAGTGTATAACAGAGCTCCACAGCAATAATACTCCCAGTAATGTGTCTGAGTGTACAACAGAGCTCCACAGCAATAATACTCCCAGTAATGTGTCTGAGTGTATAACAGAGCTCCACAGCAATAATACTCCCAGTAATGTGTCTGAGTGTATAACAGAGCTCCACAGCAATAATACTCCCAGTAATGTGTCTGAGTGTATCACAGAGCTCCACAGCAATAATACTCCCAGTAATGTGTCTGAGTGTGTAACAGAGCCCCACAGCAATAATACTCCCAGTAATGTGTCTGAGTGTATTACAGAGGCCCACAGCAATAATACTCCCAGTATTGTGTCTGAGTGTATAACAGAGCTCCACAGTAATAATACTCCCAGTAATGTGTTGGAGTGTATAACAGAGCTCCACAGCAATAATACTCCCAGTAATGTGTCTGAGTGTATAACAGAGCTCCACAGCAATATTACTCCCAGTAATGTGTCTGAGTATATAACAGAGCTCCACAGCAATAATACTCCCAGTAATGTGTCTGAGTGTATAACAGAGTTCCACAGCAATAATACTCCCAGTAATATGTCTGAGTGTATAACAGAGCTCCACAGCAATAATACTCCCAGTAATGTGTCTGAGTGTATAACAGAGCTCCACAGCAATAATACTCCCAGTAATGTGTCTGAGAGTACAACAGAGCTCCACAGCAATAATACTCCCAGTAATGTGTCTGAGTGTATAACAGAGCTCCACAGCAATAATACCCCCAGTAATGTGTCTGAGTGTATAACAGAGCTCCACAGCAATAATACCCCCAGTAATGTGTCTGAGTGTATAACAGAGCTCCACAGCAATAATACTCCCAGTAATGTGTCTGAGTGTATAACAGAGCTCCACAGCAATATTACCCCCAGTAATGTGTCTGAGTGTATAACAGAGCTCCACAGCAATAATACTCCCAGTAATGTGTCTGAGTGTATAACAGAGCTCCACAGCAATAATACTCCCAGTAATGTGTTTGAGTGTATAACAGAGCTCCACAGCAATAATACTCCCAGTAATGTGTCTGAGTGTATAACAGAGCTCCACAGCAATAATACTCCCAGTAATGTGTCTGAGTGTATAACAGAGCTCCACAGCAATAATACTCCCAGTAATGTGTCTGAGTGTATAACAGAGCTCCACAGTAATAATACTCCCAGTAATGTGTCTAAGTGTATCACAGAGCTCCACAGCAATAATACTCCCAGTAATGTGTCTGAGTGTATCACAGAACTCCACAGTAATAATACTCGCAGTAATGTGTCTGAGTGTATAACTCCCAGTAATGGGTCTGAGTGTAAAACAGAGCTCCACAGCAATACAGAGCTCCACAGCAATAATACTCCCAGTAATGTGTCTGAGTGAATAACAGAGCTCCCCAGCAATAATACTCCCAGTAATATGTATGAGTGTATAACAGCGCTCCACAGTAATAATACTCCCAGTAATGTGTCTGAGTGTATCACAGAACTCCACAGCAATAATACTCGCAGTAATGTGTCTTTAAACAACAATAAATGTGTTTAGAATCCAGTCTGTGTAAATAAGATACATTGTTCTTGTCCTAAATTCCATTTTGTTTGTAAAATTTATTAGTCACCGAAAATGTCTCAGAACAGCCCCGCCCGTGGTCACACCCACACTCACACGGTCTTAAAATGAGTGTCCCTCTTTGTCCATTTGAAATTTTAGGATGTATACTTCAAGGTGACCACAGGCAGACCCACTATAAGGCCCATCTAGGAATCACATCTTTTTATTTTTTGCATTATTTTTAATGTATTATCTACATTTTTGCCTTATGCATTGCCTTTAAGTCTGGCGCTGTTCTTTCCATTATGAAACCTAGGACCAGAATATTGGAGATTTGACAGTGAAACTAAACACGCTGGATATAATTTAGTTATCAGTTGCACTGATGTTCTATAAATCACTGGCACAGATTGCATTCCAGCTTTATTTAAATGATCACAATTCTTATAGTGACAATTCCTTGTTCCTTCACCCCAGTAAATGTTATTGAATCTCTTGGTGTGGTGAGGAGGGATGCAATGATAAGTATAACAGGAAATGACAGGTATTAGCTCCACTGAGCTAACCAAACCAGGAAATAACAGGACCAGAGGTCTGATTGACAGCCAGGGCGATGTAACAAGGTTCATTTATAAAAGTGTCAATTTTTATGGAACTCTGCATTGTTTGTAAAATGAGTAAACACACTTCACACATTTTGATTGTCCTGTTAAACAGCTGATAATGCTATGGAATGTTCCAAATTGTGAAGGCAGGACAGCATGCCACTGATCAGTAAAGGGTTACTAGATACCTTGAAAACAAATGTAAAGAAAACGATTTTCAATAAGCATTTTCTGTATTTGTCTGTCTAACATTCCTGAGAAATAAGATCCTGGCCCAAAGGTCATGCAAATACTGTAATACCCTGCTCGCTGCTTGCTCAGTCCAAGGAAGGACTGTTTTTATGATTCTTTATCTTAAAAGGTCTAAATACTTGGCACTTTGATTACCAGCAGGACAAACACGGGAAGGTGATTCGATTCTCGGTGGCAAAAAGATTTTTATTAACCTAATTTATACCACAGGTATTTAGAAACATAGAAACAGAATGTGACGGCAGATAAGAACTATTTGGCCCAATTTCCTAAATACTTTCATTAGTCCCTGGCCTTATCTTATAGTTAGGATAGCCTTATGCATATCCCACGCATGCTTAAACTCCTTTACTGTGGTAACCTCTATCACTTCAGCTGGAAGGCTATTCCATGCATCCACTACCCTCTCAGTAAAGTAATACTTCCTGATATTATTTTTAAACCTTTGTCCCTCTAATTTAAGACTATGTCCTCTTGTTGTGGTAGTTTTTCTTCTTTTAAATATAGTCTCCTCCTTTACTGTGTTGATTCCCTTTATGTATTTAAATGTTTCTATCATTTCCCCCCTGTCTCGTCTTTCCTCCAAGCTATACATGTTAAGATCCTTTAACCTTTCCTGGTAAGTTTTATCCCGCAATCCATGAACCAGTTTAGTAGCCCTTCTGAACCCTCTCTAAGGTATCAATATCCTTCTGAAGATACGGTCTCCAGTACTGTGTACAATACTCCAAGTGAGGTCTGTACAATGGCATGAGCACTTCCCTCTTTCTACTGCTAATACCTCTCCCTTGTAGCACCATGATAAAAGCTGTATCTATATTAATCCCTCTCACAAGTTAACCTATACCAGGCTGAGCTTCATAGCAATGATTTCGGAAATATGAGGGGAGTGGGAAATATTATTATTATTATTATTATTATTATTAGCATATATACCGCTAACATATTCTGCAGCGCTTAGCAGCTATAGAAAGGGGGATATTTAAAAGGTGCAGAAGGTCCAATCTATGAAGATGTGATGTGGGTGGATATATGTGTTACTTTGTAATTGCATTGAGGTCAGCTGACCTGGAATCTGTATGTTCCGCAGAAGGAAAGCATGTAAAACACCACGACTTTATACTGGCTGTCGCCAGAGACACTTTTGTAAGAGCTATGGGAGATGCAAGGAGTATCAGAAACCAGGCGCTCCTCACAGAAGTTGCAGTCAAAGAGCTGAAGGCCGCTGGGATTATGACATCATCACCAGGTATCACCAGCCCTGTACTACTGCAGCTAGACAGCGCCTGGTAAAGGAGGAAAGAACATGACTAATATGTGTGTGCTTGTATGGGCCAGTGTGTGAGTGTCAATGTCAGTATGGATTAAAGTGAGTGTGTGTCACTGAGTCAGCATTTTCAAGGTGTGTGTCAGTATAGATTAATGTTTGTGTGTGTCTCAGTATGGATCAATGTGTGTCAGTATGGATCAGTGTGTGTGTGTGTTTCAGTATGGAGCAATGTGTGTGTGTTAGTGATGTCCTGAACTGTTCGCGAACGGTTCGCCGTGGACTCATCATTGAGTAAACTTTGACCCTGTACCTCACAGTGAGCAGACACATTCCAGCCAATCAGCAGCAGACCCTCCCTCCCAGGCCCTCCCACCTCCTGGACAGCATCCATTGTGAAGCTGCATTCTTAGTGCGCTGTGCAGGAGGTGGGAGGGTCTGGGAGGGAGGGTCTGCTGCTGCTTGGCTGGAATGTGTCTGCTGACTGTGAGGTACAGGGTCAACGTTTACTCAATGATGAGTCCACGGCGAACCATTCGTGGCGAACCATGGCGAACCGTTCGGCGAACCGTTCGGCGAACAGTTCGGGACATCACTAGTGTGTGTGTATCTGGATCAGTGTGTGTGTCAGTATAGATGTGTGTGTGTGTGTCAGTATGGATCAGTGTGTATGTGTGTATCTGGATCAGTGTGTGTGTCAGTATGAATTAATGTGTGTGTCACTGGATCAATGTGTGTGTGTGTGTGTGTGTGTGTGTTTCAGTATGGAGCAATGTGTGTGTGTGTGTCTGGATCAGTGTGTGTGTCCGTATGGATCAATGTGTGTTTGTCATTATTAATCACGGTGCGTAGCATTGAGTGTATGTGAGTGTTTGCCAGTGTTTGTATGGATCACTATGTGTGTGTGTGTCAGCATGAATCAATATGTGTGTTTGTCAGATGGATCAATGTGTGCCAGTGTGTATGTTATTAAGTGTGCCTGTGTGTGTGTGCCAGTGCATTTGTATGTCATGTGATCGACTTGCTTCCAAGCTGATCATGTGACTTGCAATTTCTCCTCTAATGTGATGAATCTGTGATTGCAGTCCCATTAAATGAATGTATAAACTGGATTCTGATTACACTGTATTATATTGTTAAAAGTGTTATTATCAATGAAGAGCTAGCATATACTGCAGCACAGTATTCTCAATATTATATTCTTTTTTTAAAACTAAAAAAATGTACTTGTTAACCATCCCAAAATCCTAAGCACATATAAAAAAAACAGAGGATTTTAGTGCTACTGAATATCCATTAAAATGTAAACTCACCCGTTATAAAAAGTAACCAACATCAGAGATCTCTAACTCCCTTATTTTACATTTTGGATATTTTATCCAAATGGGACAAAAACCTGCTGACGCCCTCTGGCCTCCCTGTACCAAATCAAGGGAGAGACACGAGACAATTATTCCCAACAATCCTCGGGTTTGTTCATTAAACAGTGAATTAGGGTGACTTGAAAATCGCAAGAATGAGGGCAACATGACATAAACAGCTTATTCACCAAACTTTGAATTGTTTGGAATTGGTCAAATTTAGGCCAAAAGAGTTTAGGAGGAGAGTTCAGCTACTTTGGCCCAAAATTTGCAATTCCCTAATGAATTAACAATTCCAGATTTTGTGACTAAATCTAAAAGTTTCTGTTTTCGGTTTACCGCTATTCTTGCATGACAAATTCAAGGGCAATTAATTTTATACTTCAGCTGTTGTTAAGTAAATAAATCTCTCTAATTCTACAATGAACTGAATGCACAAGTTAAAGGATAATAGCAACTTTGTAACCGAAACGCATTTAGTGAAAAGCCCATTTGCGATTTATTTTTTTATTCATTCAGCCATTGTACGCATTTTTTTTCAATAGCCCTTTTACAGACATAAAAACTAAAAAAAGTGGGATTTAAAGTCTCTTCCTGCTGCTCACAATCTCATGGCTTAAAACAGATCTTTTTAGAAAGTATAATATCACATTTTTTATATCTGTCAACCATAAAAACCAGAGAAAAATCATTCCAAGAGAAATTATGTTGTGTGATTTTTAAAAAAAATTTTTTTTTTTTATAAAGTTAGTTAAATTTAAATACTGAATTAAAAACCTGATACATTAAGTTTTTTAAAGTCCATTTTAAATTAAAACAAATTTGCACACATAAAAATGTCATCTGCCATTATTAGAATAAGACAGCTAGAGTTTTGTCTGCTCGTAATATTCTAATCAAACTGTGGACCTAAAAGGAAAACAAACAAAAATCTGTTTATTAATAATTCTTTTTTCCTTTCATTACATTTGAAGTCACCAGTGTACCAAAAATAAATACATGCAAATAGAATTGTAGCTGCATTATTTTATGGGCTACGTGAGTGACTTTTAGAAAAAGTATTTAAGTATTTTACAGAATCTGTTTCAAGCAATGTTATCACTTTAAGGATTTGATTGGATGCACTGTTTAAATGATCTTTTAGTGCCATAAACTTTAATCAACCAGTCTTCAGGGCAGCAGCTATAAGTCAGTCTGGTGACTGGTCTGTCTGCGTTTTTTTGTCTCACTATGTCTTGCTGCGCAGACTGCTGGTTAAGGATTTCAGACAGTTTCAGCAACTTCCCCTGTTTGTGTCAAAAAAATATTTTTTCATTTCCACTCCACGGTCTGGGGTTCCTCCGGACTAAATGTTAGAATGCAGTTTGTGATCTTAAGATGCAAAAATAAAAAGCTAAGGTTAGATTTGTGCAAGGGTAGAATGGAATTTCAATACAATGTTCATTTATAAAGCAGCGATTTATTTGTTCTCGTCATTAGTGTCAAAGGAAATATTCAATTTATACAATGGCAGTGTATCCTATATAATTAAGCTATGTTCAAATCTTCATAGAAATCGCATAATCTCTATTTTTTGCTATATTAATAACTGGCAGCAACGTGACACATCAGTAGTGACATAAAGATACATTTTTCTTCAAGATAAAAATAATATATATATATATAGTGTTGAAATTAAAACATACAATGTACACAACAGAATAGGAAATAATGTGAGGTGTGAATTCAGTGCAAATGTTGTACAAGCACCATTGCAAAATATATCTGTACTAAACCAAGCCACACATAATATGCTTAATTGGCTATATAGATCTCATCCATAAATCAGATATGACTGTGAGTATTCCATGTATGTTGTAATCAGCGATCAATGTAAATTGATTGATTATTTAACAGAACAAAAGGGCAAACACAGGTTTGTATTCAATTAAGACTTGTCAGTAACTGACAAGGGAATTGTATATTCGAGACCATTATAGCTTAATGGGATGTATTTTTTAAATCAACTATTTGTATAGTTAATCTATTTTCCCCAAAACATTGTAATTGTCTTGCCTGTTCTACACAATCCATGTGTTACTGTGAAAAAGTGTCATTCTCTCAACACAAGTCAAAATTCACACTAACCATAAACCATTTCACTTCGTGGGAAGCATAAGGTTAGAGACAAAATGTTGGAGCCATAATATTAACTACTAGTATAGCTGTCATTGGACCCAACAGCTCCCCAATCTCTCCATGTGTGCGCATACTCTGCGTTTAATGAACATGATGACGCATGCTTCAATCTGCTCTCAGGATCAGAGCGTACATGGGTTGGCGTCAGACAGGCAGAGAGCGCTGGGTTAATTTACCTCCTTCTCTCTCGCTGCACTGACAGAGCACAGAAAACCTTTCACTCCTGCATTATGTATTATTTGAGCAATAACCTCAACCGCTCCTGAGATACCTGATAACTAACAGAAGCAGACACTGAAAGGATGGGTCTCATAGTTAGAGTTACGGCAATTTTGGATAACTTTGTTCCCCTCTCCACTGCACTATGGAAAATGTACTTGAGAGGTATCTGAGGTGCCATAGTTACCCATCACAGGTTAAAGTAATAGACAAAATAGCCACAGCAAGAGGCCTACTCTTGGTTGCAACAGTAACTGCATAAAACAATTGTTTTGCCTGTGATGTTCGATGTGGGACTCTGAATAGTGCTTACAGGGACCGTGAAAGCCAGCCAATCACCATTAAAGGGACACTATAGTCACCCAGACCACTTCAGCTCAATGAAGTGGTCTGCGCATGCGCATTCCACTCCAGTGACGTCGGACGGGGAGGAGATGTCCCCAACGCCGAGGGAGCCCAGCGCTGGATTAAGGTAAATTGCTGAAGGGGTTTTAACCCTTTCAGCGCCAAGGGAAGGGAACCCTGAGGGTGGGGGCACCCTCAGGGTACTATAGTGTCAAACCGCTTTGCTTTCCTGACTCTATAGTGATCCTTTAAAGAAACCATTTAATCCCACATGTCACTAAGTGAATCGATCAAACGCTTCAATTGCTATATGTTAAGTGATTGAGGTTATATTTGTATTAAAGGCGCACTATAACTGCATATAATAATTTTCTATTAATACCTGCCGCAGCAATGTCTCCTCAGCGTATATAGGCTTCCATACCGTTACAGTGTGTCTAAAATTGTACTTTTTATAAATTATGGGTCTAATCACTTGTGAATTCAAAGAGGTTGGGCGAATGGTGCGGCCAATTAATCTGGGAATTCCTTGAAATTATCAGCTCGCCGAACTGTTGTCTCAGTTTTCAAAATAAAGTTCCACTATATTTACTCATTGTTCCTTTGTGAAATCACCCATAATGAATCTCCCGGAGACTCAGTTATAATATGTACCTGCAACAACAAAAATGTAACTACTAACAAACACGTTATTTACCTGTCAAGTTCTACCCTTAATTTGGGCACACCCTGTATACCAGATGTTGTGGCCTGAAATTCTAAATTCTATTTGAATTCGAAAGACTTCACATTTTAGTGAATAATTCTCTGAATAAAAGTGAACTAAAAACTGAATTGCAAAACGTATTTTAAAATAGCCAAGCTATGACAAAAGCTTAGTAGGAGACGTTTTCTAAATCAGCCATTTTTGCCTACATTTTGCA